AGAGAGAGAGAGAGAGAGAGAGAGAGAGAGAGAGAGAGAGAGAGAGAGAGAGAGAGAGAGAGAGAGAGAGAGCACGGGTGGTGCATCATCTTTCTGGCGGTTTCACTTTCTAAGGTGACTGATGGTGAAACTTTTCGCTGTGTTTCTTTCTTTTAATTGCTGTGCTACATTTGCAGGTGGACTGCAGACTCTTTTTTGGGATTCTTGAGACTGAAGGACGGACGAGGTTGCTGTACTTGAGGAGATGGCTGGTAACGCTAACATTGATCACATTCCCCTCCAGGGGGATGGGGTTCCAAGGCGGAAGTCTGGCCGGAAAGCAGTGAAAATTTGTCTGATATCCATGGTTGTTGCCTGTGCAGTTGCCATCCTCATTGCTGTCCCCATTACCTACGGGCGTCGCAACAGACACCATAATAGGAATGGGAACACACAGAATATGGCAATGACATCTGGTGAGGCAGTGGAGCTCTTGTGTGACAATGCTGATGACCAGGAGCTATGTAAACAGTCGTTGATGGTAGACGAGAATGGCAACAACTTGAATGCGAGCGCAAGTATAGACACGAGGACACTTGCTGCGTTTCCTATGAGGCTGCTGAATGCATCTTCTTCGCAAGTGGCTGCCGTAAATCGAGCCATCGATGATATTGTTGTGCGGGCCCAAAACACATCGTGGGAACGAGCAGCTCGTGCCTGTAATGACAGCTTCGCAGATGCCCTTCTGATGTTGGTGGACATTGCAAATGCCACAGCACAGGAGGACTACAATACTGCCAAGGCCGGGCTGGCTGCACTTCGGACGGAGACTGCAGATTGCGCCGAGGAGCTCTTTAAGGCACTCAACTTGTCGTATGAACCGTATAACAGCTCTGATTCAATGAACGTGACGTTTTTGTCAGTCGAGCACCAGTTTAGCGTCTCAATGGGTGCCACGTTGTACAATTCTACTCTGACTCTTGCGTTTCAATTGTCAAATGCGATGAATGTCATCACGAACATTAAAGATAAGATCAAGGGGGGGCGTATGCTGTTAGGAGGTGTGCGGCGCTTGTCACGAAGGAGGCTGCTGGCCCAGGCTGACGTTGATCGCAGGATGGAGCCTCGCTTCACTGTTGACCCAAGGGGGGGGGCTGATTTCAAGAAAATTCAGCAGGCAATTAATGCGGCTTTCCAGATGAGGACTGAGGGAGCAACTGAGAGAATAGTCATCAAGATCAAGGCAGGATTGTACAGGGAGAAGGTTCTTGTCCCTAGGGAACTGTGGAAGTTGACCATCATTGGGGATGGCCCGGATCGAACCACCGTCCAGTGGGGTGATTATACCAATCCTCAAAACACTACTGGATTGCGAACCAGGGAGACATACACTTTCGCTGTGGAGGCTGTTGGATTCCTGGCCCTCGACATGACTTTCGAGAACAATGCTGGCTGGAGTGCGACGGTGCAGCAGGCGGTCGCTCTTCGGGCATCTTTACGAACCCTCCGCGCAGCTCCACAAGAACTTGGATCCGGACTGGCTGCCTTCAGCAACTGCCATTTCCTCGGTCATCAAGATACCCTTTACTCCCACACCGGTTGGCAGTTCTACGATAAGTGTGTAATCAATGGAACGGTGGACTACATCTTTGGAAACGCTGCTGCCGTCTTTCAGAAATGCGCTCTCAACAGCATCCGCACGAACGGCACCAACACAATCACTGCCCAGTCCCGGACAAGTGAGAAAGAGGAAACAGGCTTTGTGTTCCGCTACTGCGAAGTGGATCGCAATTCGAAGAATCAGACCATTTTCATGGGTGCAAACCACCCTAATCGTCTTGTCTATCTGGGCCGGCCTTGGAGACCCTATTCCCGAGTCGTCTTCATGTTCTGCTATATTGGAGGCATTCACCCAGAAGGCTGGTCAGTATGGACCACTATGGGAAGGGGCTCGGATAATCATGAGACTGCAGAGTACTACGAATACCGGAATGATGGGCCCGGTGCTCGTACAGAGTCTCGAGTGCCATGGAGCCGAGTTTTGCCAGCTGACGAAGCTGGGGACTACACGGTTGCCAAATTCATCCATGGAAGGACCTGGCTCCCTCGCCTTGGCATCAGTCAAGATATGTGGGTATGATGTTGCTGAACACACGGTGACTTTTATATTCTCATCCACCTTAAAGCCCTTGTTTCGACTACAGGTTTTGTTTTCAGGTTAAGCTGTCCTCCTTCACCCGACTGCAGATTTTCTTCTTGCTTTAGGCTGGTTGCAGATTAAATTTCTGTTTTCATCTTGGACTGCCTCGGGTCGACTTCTTTCCGTATGGAACTTTTTTCTCATGCACGCCGGGCCCCACATTGGTTGGTTCTCGTCACCAGCAGGCAGTAGCTAAGCTGGCCCTGGCCTGTCTTCCCTGGCTGTGACCGGGGGCCCCTTGTACAATTGTACAATGAGTATGGGCCACGACCATGCCCAGGTATGAAGGGGAAGTAAAGATGGCTCCTCCCCCTCCTCTCCATCTTCCTGTTTTTCGTCGTCGCAGATGTGTCCCGAGTTGCAGCTGTTGATTGTGTTTCTAACAGAGACCATCTTGATAACTGTCCGCCCCTCGATCTTTTCCTGGGTCGTTTCGCTGGGGCACTGTCGCTGCTCCGTACTGAGGTCATAAAGGCAGGGTAGAATTACGCGGCCCCCACCCTCAGGAATCCTATCCTTGGCGCTTTTCCTCCTGGGAGAACCGCTAGCAGTACTTCCATGACACCATTCATAGCATCTGAGACGGACGACGTGCTGATAGATGAACAGCGGCTGTGGTTCTTGGCCCTAATGGAAGTGCCACCCAGTTCTGCTTGTAATAGCCTTGTATATACCCGCGGTACAGCTGAGGGAAACATTTTGCTGGTTTGACATCTTCCTGGCATTCCCCCATTTAGCCCCCTGCTTCCTCCCTGTCCCGCAGCCCCCTTCCTTCAAAGTGAGTGCGTGCTAACAACTCCATCGCAGGAGGATCAGGGAAGCAAAAAGAGGTAAGGATCCTCGGCTGTGACATTCGTTTTGCAATGAGAAGTGGTGCAACATCGACTGCAGCCTCATCTTCGACAACGGAAGAAGTGAAATGCATAGGAGAGTGAGGGCATTATCACGTCAAGCTGCGCTGAAGGCGAAGGAAGGTTAAGGCGGTGGTGCTTCTGATGGTTTGCTTGTCCCGGTTGTATGCTCTCCGTTTTGCTCGACGGTAATATGTGTTAGCTGGAATGTTTAGCACACCACATGTGCTGAGGGTAGATGATTGGAGATATACAGCCCTTCTCATTAACTAATGGCTCGTTCCGTCACTCTGCCACTCATGTGCATCCTACCAGGTGTGTCAGGATGGGCCGCATGCGTTCCTTCAACACTTCAGACATCTTCTCACTCTTTTTTATTGTCTATAGACTCTATACGTCTCGTCTCCTAAACGGTTTCTGCCCAGTTGCCAGTATTTATGTGGGGGCATTCTCTGTATGTGTACTAGCATCTGAGGAAAGCTGACTCCACCTTCCAGCACCTCTCTTCGCCGTAGCGTCTTTCCCTATGCTCTGGGCAGCTTCGTGCTTCGCCTGTACCCAAATGACATGAATACGTAGCCTTCACAGCATATTGACCCTGCCATTCCGATGGGGTTGTGAAAGAAACAGTTTCTATTTACTTTGTTAAAGTTTATTTTTCTTTGTCAGGAGCGCGCAGGGAGTGCTCTCTGGAGATTCAAACAGGGGCACACTGAGAATAGAACTGATGCAATGGAACCGTGTGTCGTTATTTTAGAAAACCTTTCCTGTGTGAGAGAGCTAGTGCATCTCAGGTACGACTGTTGTGTGTGTGCGTGTGTGTGTGTGTGTGTGTGTGTGTGTGTGTGTGTGTGTGTGTGTGTGTGTGAGAGAGAGAGAGAGAGAGAGAGAGAGAGAGAGNGAGAGAGAGAGAGAGAGAGAGAGAGAGAGAGAGAGAGAGAGAGAGAGAGAGAGAGAGTCTTTGGATTTCTGAGAGACACATCATTCTAATTGGCTGTGGGCACGGTTATTCTTTTCGCATTCCCTCTTCTATGGGCGGTGATCATTTCTTTGATAGAATGAGCCTTGTGCTGACTTCACAAACGGTGGATTACCTGCTAGCTCTTCTTCGTTTTCTAACGAAAACATCAAACTGTGTGAAGGCGCTGTGTTGGTCACGATTGCCATATTGTTTCCCCCTGTGTGGGTGGGGGGGTGGGGGGGGACAGATTCTCATCGGTATAGCCCCTTCTCCCCCCAGATGTGTGTGGACCCAAAAGTGACAATGTTCGTATTGTTTTGATGAAACGGCCAGTTCATCGACGTTTTCTGAGTGGTGCGAAGCCCACAATGTCTGCATACACGCCTGTTTGCCTCCCTCTGTGTGTAGCATGTGTGTGCACATGAGGCAAGCGAGGTACCTACGCAGCTCCAGCAAAACCACATAGTCCCACTGTGAGCAAGTGGCAAGTCGCGGAGGCAATAATCATTGCAGCGAGGCAAACACCGCTTTTGGGTCCGCTTGTGGTGAAGGCACGTTGGGGGCCGTTCAGTTGATTCAACCATGCACGAAATCTTAGCGATTAGGAAGGACTGGGGAGGGTAGAGTTGCCTCACTCTTTTCAAAGATTCACGATACATAAGCATCCCATTGATACATGCGCTCTCTGTGAGACATACAAATGCCCACCCTGACCTTTTGATGAGTAGAGAAAATAATAATAATAATAATAATAATAATAATAATAATAATAATGATAATAATAATAATAATGTTATGATCCTGGCCAATTTCGAGATACACATCCATCAGAAAGTACAAATCCGTCCAATTGCAGAAAGAAATGAATGAACTTGAGAGGAGAGAGAGGATTATAAGAAGAAGAAGAAGTAAGAAAGAAGAAGTAAGAAAGAAGAAGAAGATGATGTACACCAGCAAGACAAATGACAAGGCTCTTCTTCTTCACCCAACAATCTCCTCCTCCTTATCCCCCCCTTCTCTTATTCATACAAGAAATAATAATACAATGTTGAATGGATGATCCAGAATCAAAGTCCGAGTTCCTCTTCTACTGCAGGCATCACTTGAGGTCCACCATAGCCATGGCCACCTCTCCCACTCTTCACTCTCATAGGCCGAGGCTATGGCGGACTACTAGGCCTTGCCCAGACGCCCAAAGGACAACCCAAAGCAGCTATGGCTGCTCTAGCTCAGGCCGCCATGCCTGACCCTGCCTCGAAGCTTCTTGGTGTGGCTCCCCCCAGTTGGGGACTCCCTGCTGCAGCGCCCACCAAGGTGATGAAGATGGCTGCCACCATACTCAGGTAAGCACCCATGGCGCTCCTCCCCCTTCCTTCCTTCTTCCCCCCTCGTGTCCTTCTCCTTCCTCCCCAGCAGCACTGCTCCAGCATAGCGCTGCTCCAGCCAGCACTCCACCAGTGTGTTGCCAAACTTGCACACCGAAAAAGAGGCCGGACTCTCCGCCCGGCCAGAAGATATAGCGGCCTGCTTCGCCTCTTGGGCGGTGACTTCCAGGCCGCTCGGCCTCCCAAGCAACCGGTACCTCCTCCCTTTCGGAGGGAAACATCATTGCAGATTCTGATATTGCCCGTACAGGCCCTAGACCCAGACTGGTTGGACTGATATCCGCCTAGACCTAACCTACAACTACTGGGCCTCTAAAAATGCCACTTTTGTCTTCTTCTGCTCGGCCTCCGGTACCTGCACATCTACCCCTTCCAGGTGCGGTACCGGCCTACCCGCTACTTGAGTGTTTTTCCCCGCTGCAACCCCTCAATGTCACGACCACAGGTAAGTACCGGCCCTCAGGGCCCAACGAATGAGCAAGTGCCCTGACGGGCCACACACATACTCATGCCAAGGCACGGTCACACACACACCCAAGCCAACCAACACTCAGACAGGCATGGTCACACACACACTCAAGCCATCCAGCACTGAGACAGACATGCAGTCCAGCAAGTGTGCACACACAGACTTAGTAGCCAGCGGGAAACTCAGCAGGGCATTCAGTCTATGGGCAAAACTCACAAATCAGTTGTGTGTTTCAGTCGATGTATGGACAGGTCATCACACTACTCCCCCCTCAAGAGCGAGGTCCCTTCAAGCGAGTAACTCATTCTGAGTCCTCGACAAACGCATCGTTAGCGAGCAAGGCAAAGAGGTTCCTAGAGTAGTCTGTTGCAGTGAGCCTTGCAGAGATCTTAGGTACAGCGTTAGTGGCGATTTGTCGCTCGTATGCTTTGACAACACGAGGTGCACTGCATAGCAGTTCCTGTTTGGAAGTCCAGTACAGATCGTCTAATGGGTGATACATGAAGTGAACCTGGTACTCTGTTGCGTCCCTTCCCTATGTGCTGTTTGATCCTGTCTATCTCATGCCCGCCTTTGATCGCACAAGGGATCATGTCCTCGCGATAGTCGAACATTTTAGCATCACGGTGGAGGTACAGTTTCGATGCATGGAACACGGGGTATGTGCGCCGATGAGCTGGCACATCAACTACGTATGAAGGGCCAAAGTGGTCTTCGCCAATCACATCCAAAACTTCCCACGGTTCGTAATAGAGTGGGAGAAGTTTGCGAGAGACCCCTTCTTCTTCTGAGAATTCAGAGATCTTGACCCAGACATAGCTTCCTACTTGAATGTCTGACAGTCGGCGCCTCTTGTTCGCATGATGGATCATGGCGTGCTGTCGCTTGGTCATGGCTGCAATGGTAACCTTGAGCAAGCGGTCATACTTGGCCCTGAAGCCAGGCCTGCCGGGTGTTAAGCCAGCTGGCTGTTCAGGGAATAGGTAGGAGAGCGGATTACTGATTTGCCAACCGAGATGCAGCCTGTTAGGTGTCATGCCGGTGGCAGAATGGATGGAGTTGTTGTACAACCCTCTAACGGAATACAACTCTTCATCCCATGTTTCCTGATCCGGGATAATCAAAGTGCGAAAAAGTTGGAACACAGTCTGGTTGATTTCTTCAGCCAAACCGTTGGCTTTAGGGTGTCGGCCAGATGTCATACACAGCCTGATCCCCAAATGAGACGTGAAGTCCTTCCATTCAGTACTAATGAAGCGCGGGTCCCGATCGCTTACGAGAGTCTTCGGGGTTCCGAACTCCAGAATGTACTTCGGTTGGAACTCACGATTCACTAATTTTGTTGGGGCATGAGGCGGCAAAGGGATCAGATTAAGGAACTTAGAGAATCGGTTAACAATCACCATGACTTGTGAGTAGCCGTTCTTACTTACCTTTCCCATGTCGGTAAAGTCGATGGAGACAGACTCCCTGGGACCTTAAGGAATGGGTAGGGGTGTGAGTAGCCCCATGGGCTTTTGTCTGCATGGTTTGATTCGTTGACAGACTTGACATTCAGCCACAAAATTTTCAGCAGTCCCTTTCATGCCAGGGCAATCAAACTGTCTCAGCAAATTGGCGTACGTCTTTGTCATGCCGAAGTGTCCGCTCCGGCCATGAGCCAAATCCAGAAAGTGCGTGCGGAGAGGCTCATGGTTGGGCACACACAAACGGTCGTGGTTCCCGTAGCGACGAAAAATCAGTCCTCCATACTCGTGAAAATCAGGTTGATTGCTAGTGTCAGCCAGTAGCCGCTCAAGGATGGAACTCAACTCCGGATCCTTGGCGGTGTGCTCTACGAGGTCCTCCTTCAGTTTCTTCTGGAGGTCGTAGGATTTGACAAGGCAAGTCATGTACTCAGGGTGGCGAGACAATGCATCAGCAACTCGATTATAACAACCATTTTTGTGTCTTAACTCAAAATCGAACATGTCAATCTCATGGAACCAGCGAAGCAAGGTAGTGGACAGGGTAGTTTGCTGTTTGATCCACTTCAGAGTCTCATGATCTGAGAAGACTTTGAAGTGGCGTCCCAAAAGATAGTGTTTTCAGTGGTCCAACGCCATACGCAAAGCATAGAGCTCGCGCATGTAGGTGGAAGTGACTACCTTTACGCTGGGCATGCGTTTGCTGTAGTACTCGAGTGGCCGCAAGCCATCGTCGTCATCTTGTTGCAGCAATGTGCCGATTCCATACCGACTTGCATCCGTAGTAACTACGAATGTCAGTTTGGGATCTGCAATGCGGAGTACCGGGTAACTTACCAAGGCGTCCTTCAAGGCTTGAAAGGCGTTCGTGCACGCGGTGTCCCAAGAATAGGGAACATTTTTACTGGTCAACCGCGACAATGGATGAACAACAATAGAGAAGGGGGGCACAAACTTTCGATAGTATGACGCGAGGCCAAGAAAAGAACGCAGTTCAAGAATGTTCACGGGCTGAGGTCAATTGCGTATGACCTAAACCTTGGTTGCCTCAGGCTCCAGGCCTGCAGCAGACAACTGATGCTCAAGATAGATGACACTATCCTTCCCAAACTCAGATTTTTCTAAGTTGAGATGGAGTTGCGTTTTCTAGAGGATGGTTAGTACTTCCTCAAGGTGCTTGAGGTGTTCCTCCATGGACTAGTTGAAGATTAGTATGTCATCTAGGTAGACCACCACGAACCGGCCAATCTGTTCGTAGAGGACTTTGTCCATGAGGCCTTGGAAGGTGGTTGGCGCATTCGTGAGACCGAAGGGCATTACGGTAAACTCGTAAAACCCATCGCGCGTTTTGAACGCAGTCTTGTGCTGGTCCGCAGGATCGACTTCAATCTAGTGGTAGCCAGACTTGAGATTGATCTTGGAGAAGACCTTGCACCCACCTGCGGCATCAAGCAAGTCATCTATACGAGGCAATGGATAAGGCATTCTTTCTTGTGATGCGGTTTAGACCGCGATAGTCAATACACATGTGGAGTTTGCCTCCTTTCTTTGGAACAAACAACACAGGAGCACCAAATTCAGATTCGCTAGGCTTGATCCACTCCTTGTCAATCATCTCATCCATCTGTCGTTTAAGTTCCTCCAACTCGCCGGGTCCCATTCGGTATATGCAGCCCTTTGGAGGAACAACACCTTCAACCAACTCGATGGTGTATCGGACCGGTCGCATGGAGACTCCACGTGGCTCAGCCAGAACTTCCGGAAACCGATCGAGGAGGTTTTGGATATCTGGTGGGACCGGTGGG